GTACAGCCTGCAGTTGATAGCATTGATAACTTTCACATTTCTCTCTCCGTTTACTCAGGTAAAGCACATTATTTTTAGGTATTTTATTTTGTTTTTTTCTCTATATATATTTGTTTATTTTTTGGCAGCAGCTCACTCACCGGGTGGAGGTTTTGTGCAGCGAGTAGACTGCGCCAGTGGCCAATCGCGTGCCCACATCCAGGAAACGCATATCCATGCCGGCATTGTGCTTGGTGCCAAAGGGCGGATTCATGACAACCGTGTCGAAGGCCTTGTCCCACTTGCCGTTAGGCACTTGGAGCACATCGGCACGGATGCAGTCCACGTTTGGCAGCTCCATGTCTAGCACGTTTTGCCGAAAGGTATTCACAGCCGCGTCGTCTAGCTCAAAGCCGATGGTTAGCAGCGCGCCCAGCAATGTGGCACCAATGCTCAGCATGCCGCAGCCWGATCCCAGATCAGCAACCARTTTGCCCTCGATGTCGTCGTACTGCTCCTGCATGCAATGCGTKATGCAGGCAGCTATGTGGGGCGGAGTTGGGTACTGTTCCAGCAGTAGCTTTGGCTTCTCAAAGCCGTCGACGCACTGCAGATACTCCTCGAGCTTCTTCAGCTTTAGGCGCGTCATGTTGATGCTGGGGGATGTGGGCGTGTGTATTGTTCTATGAAATTACTTGGAGTTGGGCGCTGGCGGGGTCGGCACTGGTTCCAGGCGAGGCAGCACGGGTATAAAACTATTTCCAAAATACGAATCCTGCGGTATAAAGAAGCCCAGAGTAGTAGAGCTCGTTGGATTAAATGCAGATCGTGGCGCGGCGATGCCGCCAGCGGCATTAGGCGTTGCGCTCACGTTCTGCACAAACTCAGCTGTCACTGTCGGCTGTCCAAGCAGCTGTGGTGCGGGCATCTACAAAGYAGCAAACCAGAAATCTATTAATCTGTCACTTTAATAMAMAAATATATGAATATKTATTTACATTTACCTGATTCGCTGTGCTACCCAGTCCGATGAGCAACTGTTTCTTGGTTTGTATTTCTTCAAGTATTTTACGGTTCGTTTCTGCTTGCTGTGCACTTGATGTGGGAAAAGCCATCAAAAATAGGCGAAATTTTGTATGAATAACTAAATAAAAAGAAATTAAATAATTAAAACG